TGACATCTTCTACAATTTCTTGTCTCATCATGGTCTTTTGTTGGTCAAATTGTTCCTTCCGTTCCTCAATTTTTTCCTCCATTCTCAGCATTTTGTCTTCCATTTTTTTCAGGAGGTCATTTGTTGCATTTGATGAGGCTTCAAAATTTCCCACTTTCCCTTTCAAAGTAGTTTTTCTAACCCCTCTTCCATATAATCTCAAACGTCTTGGATGTTCTGATCCCATGACAGAAGCAAATGCATCAATTGTCTCATTACCATCTTCATTTTGTTGCATTTCAATATTCTCCATCTCAACCTATAATGCAATTTTATTATTAAAAAACAAGAGAATTCAAGTACACATATAAAGAGTAAATATGAAAAAACAAATTCAAATCAAACAAATTAGATAGAAATCTCACAATTTTACTAGCTGTATCTTCATCTGTATCCTTGTATGATCGATTGGGCTTTCTTTTTCTTGTAACCACAAAAAATTCCTTAGGTGATAGAGTATCATTAGTTTCCCTCTCTTTTTCTTGTACACATTAAAAGTGGATATCAAACATCTTCTTTAAAATGCAACATGTTTTTATTCAATGTTACGCGGGAGCTCATACCAAATCATTGCGAACTAAAGCAAATCTTTTCTTGCCAACAGTATGTGGATTCTTCAACTTTTTCAGATTCTCACTGTTGGCTTTTGACATTTTCTACAAATAGAAGAGAAGTTCCACAATGATCAAGTGATTTTTATAGAAGAGGAAGGCTTTTTGCCAGTGACTAGTGATCCGTAAAAAAGATGAGAGCTCAGTGGTCTCGCAGAAAGAAGAGACACTACAGTGATCACTTACAAAAGAAAAGAACTCTTTATATAGCTTAAAATATTTTGAAAATGAAGAGCAAAAATAACCACCAAATCAGCTAATCACAATATTCTCTTACTAAAAGAGAAGTAACTCAATCCATAAGGAATAAAATTCGACCAAGAAACATGTATTACAAGTTGTTCTCGGATCCAACAAGGACAGAAGGGAAATGATAATATAAATCCCAACTTACCATAATTGAACCACTACCAAAGTTGTCATATAATTAAACCAAGTAGCAAGGATGGAAAGAAAACAATCGTTTAAGAAAAATATTATATACTCAGAAGTATCAATTTAATAGTGGGATAAAGGTTCAATTACCATATTTAAGCAAGTACTATGACTGCCACAATTAATTATGGGAGTGATAAACTAGAATCAATCACAATATAGAAGTAAATCAGTAACTTTCTTTAATTAATCTAAAATAAAATTGTAAAGAAGTTGGACCCATGAAACACTAAAATGAAGGAGATTTTTTTATCTTTTCCTAAGATCGATGAGTCAAATAACTCTTATTTCGTATTACCAACTAGTAAGACTTGCCTAAAATTTTTCTGAGTTCCAATATTTAAGAAGTTCCTTAAATTGAGATGTTGGAACATCATCAGGCTTTTTTTCCATCCGAATTTGATCATTAGCGTAGGCATCAAAGTGGTGTGTTTTCAAATCAAACTTACGCCTTCTCCAAGCTTCTTGAATTGTTTTTAAAGTCCATCTATTTTTGATTTCTGGAATATCATATTTCTCCTGAAAATTTGGACATTGAGTTAGTGCAATAAATGTTAAATATATTTAACTTAACAGAGAATTGAAAACTTCAAACCTTGGTATAATCCCACAAATCCTGTTTTGTGTCAAACAACTTTCAATTTTCTATATCAAGAGGATAAAGGGTCGCATTCCTAGCAAGTGTACCGAGGAAGCTGCTCAACTCTATCACGACATCATTACTAGGACCAACTGGTTGACCAGCTTTATTCAGTACAATCAGTTTATGATCATGCCTTCCATGTACAAATAACATCTTTGTTTGACCTCTTTGTCTTTTTTTAGTGGAAGAGTCTACAATAATACACAAATAAAGATAACCCTTCCAAAGTAGTATTGTAATTTGATTTTATAATTAAAAAAGAAAAGTAATATTATAAATAAAATATGGATGTTCTTCACATTGTTCATTTACTTTAAGAGCAGTAGAATTCAATTGAAGTTGTTCTTCTACTGGTTGCACTACATTGTTAGTTGAGTCAGCTTGTATACGAACTCATGCCTCTGGATTGTGTGATTCTAGCACATCTTGTTCTTCTATTACATATGTTAGACGCTAATGCTTTTCGATCAGTAGATCCTTTCTTCTTCTAGCTAGCAACAACTTATTTTGATTCGCCAAAGATGTGAGTGTTCCAGCTGGAAAGTTTCTCTTGTTTCTTTATTCCTTATTCTTGAAGACTCTCGCTGTTTCATGACTACCAAGTATTGCCTGCTATAAAAATAGAGATATAAAGATAAGGAGTTAGACATCCCAACATAATCAAGAAGATAAAACAGAATCAGTGAAAAGAAGATTGCAATCGCAATAAGACGAACTAGTAAAAAGGAAAAAGGGTGAAGCAGAAATCAGAATCACCACTTCTTGCTACCTGATTCACATAGGCTTTCTAAAGAAAAATCACTCATATAGTTTCAGCAAATGAAGCACTAAAGCAAACTCTAATAATATTTAGATAACCCAAAAAGACAGAAGTACACAATAATAATAAAATAGGCAAAATCAACATTCTTTCAATTGACTTTGAAACCAATAGTACATATAAGAAAATGAAATAGGGATATATAAGAAAAATCCCTTTGTCAATCATCAGCCACCATCCAATCCCAATCGACGTCATCAAAGTCCTCATCTTCTTCTGATGTGTCCATATCTTCTTCCATATATTCTGAATGTTGATCATGAGTTGACATATCAATGACATCACCAGCTACATCTTCTCTTGACCATCTGAGATCAACATCAACATCAGGTATTCCGTTTAATGGTCCAATGTCATTGTCTGGCTCCCCAAAAAATGTGTCTCCAATATTAGGGCAATTCTCTTCTTCTAAATCAAATAAATCAACATGAACTTTGGTCCTTGCATAATAAACATCTTTCTCAATTGGATCCTCTACATAGAAAACTTGATGCACTTGCTATGCAAGTACAAATGGATCTTTAGTACTGCATAACTTGTTGAAGTATACCCGAGTTAATCCATATTCGTCTACTTCATTACGAAACCAATCACATTTAAACAACACAACACTAAAGCAACCCCAATAATCAATCTCTTGAATAACTCCATAATAGACAACTTTTCCATCAATGGGGTTTTGGTCTCTAGCACTAGCAAAACTATAAGTCGTTGCTAATAAAGTCACTCCATAGTTCTGGGTCTTACCTTGACTATCTCGTTTCATTGTATGAAATCGATATCCATTGATGAAATATGCTGTATATCTTTTTGCCGCAGTATTAGGCCCTTTAGCGAGTTGTCGTAAATGTTCAGGCACTTCAACAGATTTAACTTTCTCCTTAAACCAGTTGCCAAATTCCTGACTATGATTTTGTGCTCTAATCCATGCATTTGATCTACTATGATTGTCAATTACAGTCTTATGTTCCCTACAAGCAAGCATGTTTCAAAGTTCTTATCATATAAAAATTATTGAAGTTTATAATAAAAGTGACAGATCTTACATGATAAAGGTCTCCATTTTTTCATCTCCGATATTAAACAATACATATCGATGTATATCAACACATAACTGGAGATCCATGTGAAAATTATTGCCTTTGGTTTTTTTCTCCCTTCCAATCGGATGGCCAAATTTAGGGAATATAGGTGACAAATTATCTCCCTCTGTTTCAATTCCCTGCTCATCCTCTAATTGGTATCGACTAAATTTTGTTTTCACCCCAACATGTAGGTATCTAGAAGATAAATTCACGTGCTCTAGTGCTACGAATCCCTCTAGTATTGATGCTTCTAGATGAAATCGATTACGAACAAGCCCCTTGAAGAGACATAGGTTTCTTTCAGTGGAATACATCCAACGAAGATGTGTCGGACCCCCAAGCTTAATTTCATTTACTAAATGGATGGGCAAATGTACCATTATATCAAAAAAAGATAGAGGGGAAATCTTTTCAATGTCACATATAATCTCATTGATCTCAGACTGCATTGTATCAAGATCTGCTCGCCTTATCACCTTGCTACTTATGACTTTAAAGAAGTTCCCCAACCGAATCAAAGCCATAGAAACTTTTTTGGGCAACACTTTTCTAACAACAATTTGGAGCAAGTAATGCATTATGAAATGAGCATCATGACTCTTGTAACCTGATATTTTAATCTCATCCACTTCCACACATCTTGATATATTTGAAACACAACCTTTCGGTAATTTGGCATTTTTAAGAACACTGCAAAATAACTTCTTTTCTGTTGGTTTCATGGAGAAATAGGCTTTAGCCAAATGAACTTTTCCATTATCATCTTGTACTGGTTGAAGCTCCTTTTGTATCCCCATTTCTTGCAAGTCATATCGAGAATTTACATGGTCTTTTGACTTTCCAGTTACATCCAACAAAGTCCCGAGCAAACTGTCACAAATATTTTTTTTTAATGTGCATCACATCAAGATTGTGCCTCAGTTTGTTATGTTCCCAGTATGGCAATTCAAAAAAGATGGATATTTTTTTCCATGGACCCTCACTATCACGACCCTTCCTTTTTTGGCCCTTTCCGAAAACATTATTGAATTCACGCTGCTCTTCTAATACTCTTGTGCCTGATAAGGGAGTAGGTGCAGATTTGTGATCTTCTTTACCATCAAATGATTTCTTATCTCTTCGAAATGGATGATCAGGAAGTAAGAATGCCCGATGACCCATGTAACACATCTTACGACTATGCTTGAGATATTGAGAGCATGTCCCATGATTACAAGTTGGGCATGCCTTTCTTCCTTTTGTGCTCTAACCAGAAAGCATTGCATAGGCTGGAAAATCACTAATTGTCCACAATAAGGCTGCACGCAATTGAAAAGTTTGGTTAGAATCAGCATCATATGTTTCCATCCTAGTTTCCCACAATTCTTTCAATTCTGCATTAGTGGTTGAAAGTAGACATCAATATCCTTTCCTGGCGACGATGGACCTGGAATGATCATAGATAATATCATATACTCTAGTTTCATGCAAATCCACTGTGATAAATTATAATTCGTTAACATAACAGGCCATGTGCTATGGGAAATACTCATGGTTCGAAACGGGTTGAAACCATCACTTGAAAGACCCAATCTAACATTACGAGGATCTCTAGCAAAATCTTCGTGCAAGGAATCAAAATTCTTCCAAGCTTCCCCGTCAGCCGCATGCCTTATGTTGCCATCTTTAGGTCGTTTAGTATCATGCCATTTCATATTTGCAGCTGTTTCAGGACACATGAATATTCTCTGAAGCCTAGGTTTTAAGGGAAGGTACCTTAAAACCTTTGCAGGAATTTTGGAGCTTTCATTAGTCAAGGGATCATTAACAGTCTTCCATCTAGACGTGCCACAAACAGAGCAATTATTTTCCTTCCAAAATAACATGCAATCATTAGGACATGCATGCATTTTTTCATAATCAAGACCCAAATCTTTAATCACATTTTTTGCTTTATGGAACGACTTAGGTATATGAGCAAATGGAAATGCCTCTCTTAACAAGTCTAGCATGTCTCCAAAGGCCACATTACTCAAACCATGAATGCATTTGAACAAGAATAATCTAATGGTGAAATTCAGTTTAGAGAAATTCTCACACCCATGATATAACTCTTGTTTACCTTCCTCCAGCAATTTAAAAAATTTCTTTGCATCTTCGGATGGCCCCTCTCTCACTCCCTCAAGCCTCAAGTCACCTGCAACATCTCTAAAAGTATCGTGAAGTAGGCCATCAATATTGTCACGCATGTTGGAACCTTCCTTATTATTATGATCTAGATTATTTCTCGAGGAAAAACTTTCCCCATGAAAAATCCATTTGGTATACCCTTGCACAAACCCATAAACAACCAAGTGATCCTCTACCACATTTCGATGATGCCACTTACAATTAGCACACTTTTTGCAAGGACACAATATTTCATCTCCTTTGGAAGCTCGTTCAAAAGTTGTATCAAGAAAGTTATTCACACCACTGATATACTCATTGGTGGATCTTCGGAGACCCATCCAACTTTTATCTCCACTATCCATTTAATATTGAATATCCTATATGACACCAAAATCAAATTACCAAGATAAGAAATAAAAGAGAAGATTCTGAATAGCACACCAACAGATTTGGTTCCCTTAAAAACTTACATTCAACAGATTTTGATCAGTGGCTCTATTTTATTTTATTTAACAACATAAATGAAATGTCTTTTTTCCTTGAACTATTTGTTATACATAATCAGCTATCTACTTAACAATACCTATTTTACCTAGAATTTCAATTAGTTAAAAGAGAAATGATGTAAAAGATTTAAAATCTAAAAACTCAATCTTAAGATAATAAGACATGACAGTAAAGTGAAACGATTTTGACAAATCTAAACACTTAAAAGATGTAATGGATTTCATATAAAAAATACAAAATTTCATATTATTTTGTCAAAGACAACAACCTCACTCAAGAAACTAAGTAGCACACAATTGCAAGACTCCCCATTAAGAGGTTGAGTTAATGTTCAAAACCTTATGCCTAGCTCAACCAGACCCAATATCTACTCAATCAGTTCTAGAATCAGCAATGGTCACAAAATAGAACATGAATCAGAAAAAAAGAGTAATAGGAAAGTCACATAAAAGGGAAATCTTATCCAACACTCTAAACTTACTATACATGTACAACATTTAGAGAGAACATATATGGAGAAAGAATCACCTAGAAATGATTATAAACAACACAAAAAGAAGAGTAAAAACCAAGATTCACACACACATCAATGGAAATGAGAATAGACTAAAAAGAAACTGACTACAAAATTAAGAGACAAGGGAATATTACCTCTTTTTAAGCAGTGAATGGCTCACTACATGAAGACTTTACTAGTTATAACCTTTTAAATTAAAGATAAGCATAATTAAGCTAACTAGGCAAATTTGAGTTAACAAGTTGAGGGTGTTGTATCTCTAATTAAAGACTTCTAAATAAATTTAAAGGTAAAAGAAAAACATAAAAGGACAACAAAACCAAAGTCACTAACCTCACTCAAGAAACTAAGCAGCTCAATCGTAAAACTTCAAATTTATAAGAAAAGACAAGGAGCAGCCTTAGAGAACTTGGATGTATGGTTAAATGTAGACATGCATATCTAAATCTAGGAGCAGACTTAGGGTGGTTGAGTTAACACTCAAAGCCTTATTTTGTGCTCAACTACACCAAGGATCTACTCAATGTATTCCAAAAGCAAAAATGATCTTAAAACAGAAAATACAATATTTATCACAAAAAGAATATTAAAGGAGAAAACAAAGAACTACTCAATACCTAAAGTTTTATTCGGTGCTCAAAGAATAAAGAGGTTGGTTTCATAATCAAAACTTTATTCTATGATCAACTAGACGCTAGGTCTGCTCAATGTATTCCTGAACTAGTAATGCTAGTTAAAAGCACCTGGTAACCCTAATGACAATCATTAAAAAAGCTACGACCTCAGACTTCTGTTTTCATTTCAAGAAGAATACACACCACCACTACACAACTATGTTCAGAAGAAACGCTTTCTTGCATTGGTACACTGGGGAATGAATGGACGAGATGGAGTTCACTGAGGCAGAAAGTAACATGAATGATCTAGTTTCTGAAGCTCTTAACTCATAACAGAGAAAATTGATCATGAAATATTTTTTACAATAAAGCATAAAGTGAAATTTTTTCCAACATTCTAAACTTACAATACAGACCTTAAATTTGAAAAGCACAGTTATATGAAATGATTTAACTAAAAAATGAATAAGCAACAATGAACAGAGATTAGTAAACGTAAAATATCTAACATACACACAGATATACATCAAAGTAAAATAAGAGAAACAGGAACATTACCTTTTTTTAAGCAGTGAGCTGAGCTTGATGACCAACTTGTAGTTTGTCCACTAAAAAATTTAGATAAGAAGGAAGAAAGTATAAAATTAGAGCTTGAAAATTGTACTCAAAAAAGAGAAACAAAATCCCTTAATGTTCGATTTCAATGACTTTTGGAGTTGAAAAATACTTCAGTTCATTTTATTCTTAGAAATCGTTTGTCCTGTTCAAAAACTTGAGGTTTTTCGATAGATAAGAATTATCATGTAGAATGAAGAATCGAAACTTATCTTTCATAACATTAATTCTTCCTAAACTGAGAATTTCCATCTAAACATTTTTGCAAAGATTTCTCAATCTTCACCAAAATTGAGATACACACTCTAATGCACAATAAAATTACATTATAAACATAAACTCTAGCAAAGAACATCTACTTCACAGAAACCCATTTGTCTATTTTCAAATCTTTTTCAAGAACCCTTCTAATAAATTTCTAACTTTAAAGAAGATGGAATACGACATACATGTAGCTGCAGAAACGTAAAACCCACGAAGAAGAAGACCCAAAAGCTGCAGATTCCTACAAGGAAAATCAAAGAAGAAGGATTAAAGGAAAATGCTACTTTTGTTCTTCAGAGAGAAAGGAGAAAGTCGATACCTACGAGGATGAAAAGTCTGAATAAACAAATTAACCTAGTGATATTTTACCTTTTATTTTTGTTTTTACAATTAATAAAAAAAAAACTCTTTTGGCGGGTGTAGTAAAATTAGTGGAGGGAAATAATTGAGGGAAAATAATTGAGGGAAAGAGTTTGGCGGAACCGTTGCCATAGAGTACCTAAGGCGACAATTTGTAGGAATCGTTGCAATAAAAGATACTATGGCAACGGTTGTCGCAATAAAGCAACGATTTACTTCTTAAAGTGTTTCATTAGGTCCATTTGTCTATTGCAAAGGTTATAACCGTTGTGAATTACTGTCTATTGCAACACATATTTAGTTGTTGCTAAATAATTGTTGCTACATGCATGTTTTCTAGTAGTGAATTAGCTGTATATATCAAATGCACAAACTTCTAACTCGCTTAAGTGGATAGGGAAAGAATTCACAAACAATAGGAGTTGAGGGTAGTTTGCAGATCATGTTGATCATGCAGACTGAAATTTATCCCACCGCGTCTAAGTTTTCCACTTTCCCTTTTGACTGAAATTGCAGAACAAAGTCCAATATTTGTATAATGATACACTTGAGATTTCTTCTGTGTCAACTTTTATTGCTGCTACATTTTATTGCACACTTGAGATTTAATTGTTATTACTGTTACATATCAGAGGATTTACAGTGTCAATAATGTTCAAGTTTGAACAAATTAATAATGTAGAATAATAGGGATGAGGAAGTGATCAAGTTTTTTTAATTCAAAATAATAATAACAAAAAAATAAATAAGAGCGGCGATTTGCAAACAACCCCGAGAGGGACGCCTCATACACCTAGATTTTAAAAATGCGACTTCTGTGGGAATATGATAAAACGTCGTCATGTTGCATGATTCATTGAATGTTCCAATAGGCCTGCATCAACTCTCACCAGGTTTATGTTGTTGTTTGGGAAAAAACTTTGTTTTTAATTATTGTACAAAGTCTATATATTGGTAGCTAATAGTTTGACTCCTTCTTTTGGTCTGCCCTTTTTGGAATCTTCTTCGTTCTTGCTTTGTGTTTGTGCGGTTGTATAGGCTTCTACCTACAAGGTAATGCTTTCCCTGCCAAAAATAAATTTATGTCAGCATTACATGCATTTACAACTTTATAATATGAATACGTCTTGCTGATATATTTATTATTCCGTGTGATTATTAATAACTGATAGAAACATACAATTGAAATGCCGAATAAAAAAAAAAAAAAGCACATCCACACTCTGACAAAGCAGAGGGCAGTAAAAAACCTCGACGTCATGACTTATATAAAGTGAAGCGCCCTACCAAAAAAGAAGTTGTCTTGCCGAGAACCCAAACCAATCAAACTGGATTGAGCAGACAACATTTCATTGCTGACTCAACCATCTCTACATCTTCCCTCACGCAACTACATTCTGCTGAACAACATCCTATTCAGCAAGAAGATTGCTTATATCGATTTGAATTAGGTCAGAAAATTATATTGATATTTCTTTAGAAAAATATATTATATAGATATATGCTAAATACATGTACATGACAGGCTCAACATCAACTGCTACTGAACATTGTAAGGAAAACACTATAATGACACAAACATCTATAAATTACCATATATTAAAACCCGTTCAAAAATGTAATTTTTGTGGTGCAAAAATATTTGAATATGAATCAGTGGGTTTATGTTGCGCCAAAGGTGCTATTAAACTAATTTCTCACCAACTTCCATCAGACTTGCAAAATCTTTACTTACAACATAACGAGAAATCAAAGCTTTTCTGAACTTATATAAGAACCTACAATAACATGTTTGCATTCACATCTCTTGGAGTAAACTACGATAAAGATTTAGCGAAAAGAAATAAAGGCATTTATACATTTAGAGTTCAAGGTAAGATGTACCATTTTATAGATAATCTAATACCAAGTGGTGAAAAAATGAAAAATCTTCAGCTATACTATTTTGACAGCGAAAATGAATTGAAAAATTGAATGGTATGTTCTGATAAACTAAATCAACAAATTGTCAAAATTTTAATGGAAATATTACAAGTTAATCCGTATTCTATATTCTTAAAATCTTTAATAAATATTCCACAACTATCTGATTTCTATATTGCTCTTAAATCTGATGCTGGTCTAAATCAACGTTTATATAACTTACCAACTGCATCAGAGGTTGCAGGAATATGGTTAGAACAAAATATTAACAACCATGTTTCCACACCTCATATCAGAATATATACTAAAAGTATACAAGTCAATTAGTACATTATTATTATGGATGTTATGATTCATTACAATATCCATTATTGTTTCCTCATGGTGAAAATGGTTGGCACTGTGGTATTAAAAAAATTAAACCTCTAAGTCCTCATTTGACTACACAAACACACTGTAAAAATGAACAACTACCAAATGTTAACAATATGGCCTCGATTGATGGATTTTTAAATTTAGAAGATGAAATTATGCAAAAAGGTAAACAAAAAAGAGAAAC